AGCCGCACCCGCTGCGCGCCGCGGCCACCCCCGCGCGGGAGGGGCGCGCGCTACTTGGCGGGGGCGGCCCGCAGAGTTCCCAGGATCCTGTCCCAGTGCGTGAAGTAAGGGGCGAAGTTGCAGTTAAACTGGGAGTGATGCAGGTCGTGGTGCACCACGCCCCCGTACCACCCAAAAGGTACCAGTCTGTGGGTGGACCAGGGAAAGTCATAGCCGGAGTGGTCCTCCACCGACAGCCAGATGTTGACCACGTGGAAGACCAGGACGGTGAGCGGATGGCACTGCAGCAGCTTGACGTTCACCATGTCGAAGAAGCCCAAGGAGAACAGCTCCCAGACGCTCATGTACTGCGTGGCCAGCGCGAAGGAGGGCGAGTTCTGGTGGTGCACCTTGTGGAAGGTCCGGTACAGCCAGGGCACCTTGTGGTGCAGCAGGTGCCACACGAAGAACTCGGCGTCGAAGAGCAGCAGGCAGAACACGACGTGGCACACCAGCTGCAAGAGCTCGGGGGCTTCGGGGGGCGGCAGCGCCGGGCCGTGGGCCCAGTGCAGCAGCGTCAGGGGGAACACGAACACCAAGTGCTGGCCGAGCGTGCGCCCCAGGCAGGGCAGCAGCTGCCGCGCCGTCGGCGCGAAGTCCGGCTGGATCTTGTAGCGCCGCAGCGCGGGCGCCCAGGGGCACAGGACGTCCAGCACCACGAAGGGCAGGCAGAAGCCCACGTAAGTGGTGATGGAGAAGATGACCGGGAAGAAGGCCGACTGGGTGAGGGCGTCCCGGGTCCTCAGGAGGTCCCAGACGGGCTGCAGGAACAGCTGGCCCGGGCTGCACAGGACGCGGAGCTCCGAGGCGTTGCTGCCGCTCATGGCGAGGCTGTGCTCCGCAGCCGCTGCCGCAGCCGGGGCCCGCCGGCTTTATGTAGCATTGAGCCCCGCCCGGATGACGTCAGCTGCGCCGAGCTTGCTTAAATAAATGAGCCCGCAGAGCCGCGCTTAGCTGCTAAAACACACCTCGGCAGCTGCGCTCCGTGGGCTTTTCCATATGCAACATAAATGGCACTTAGTAACTTCACACGCATGTAGAACTGACGCTCGATTTACGAACGATGCAATGCGCAGATCTTTAGAGTTTCTGTGCGTTTGGACAGCTCAGTCCATCTGTGTCAGCGCCACCCCCAAACAAGACAGGGACTATTTCCATCACCACCAGGAAGGGCTGCTCTGCAGTCAGTCCCGAATTACTTGTCTTTTTAAATCCATACATACAGCTGCGTCTGTGCAAACACAAGCATAACCTCACGTTAGAAAACTTCTTAAAGTGCGGTGCCTTCCGCATTTCCGATCTTTCCTGCCTGCGCGCCCTGAGCCGCTTCAGCCAGCCGCGAGCGCACGCTAACCTTCCTCAGGGCCCCGGCCGCGCGCGGCGGCCGCCGGCGCGGGGAATCGGACGGACGCGGTGGCCGGGCGGAACCTCTCCGGCTCCGGTCCCCAGCGCGCACCTGCCCTCGCCGCAAGCTCCGGGTCCCACCGCACGCAGACCCGCCCGGAGCAAACCGCAACCCCGGGCGCCGGGCCTGTCTCGGCGGCGCTGCC